CTTTATTGCGCAGAGTTATTTAGTCAATCATGTCCGCAGTCGCTCCCATTATTATGTGATCACAACTTAATGTAATTATGTTTGAAATATGCTATAATTTATATTATATCTCTGTGTATACTCTTATAAGCACCTGATAATATAATTTAGTTCATAATCATGCTCAGGACTAACGTATTCTTGAAGACTGAACAATAAGCTATTATTGGTGAACTTAATAAAATCTTTCAGTTCAACATTTAAACCAATATATATATTCATGAGACCCCAACATCTATGTTTAATATTCCAAGAAATATACCTTACTTCCCGGTAAATATTTAGATAATGTTGGACCTAAAGTTTATTTGGCAGCAAAGTATATATATGGTGGTTGGTCGGTAAGTTAAAGTGGTGGCCTTCATAACCCTCCGCGGTTAATATACCTTAAGTCCAACACAAAACAATTTTTAAGTATACCTGAACAGCAGGAACTAAAATTATGAGTATCGGAAACCTCAATACTCTCGTTAGTTTACCTCTGAAACTCCAGGAGGTGCACTAGTTTACCCTCCAGACCCCAGGAGATGCACTAGTTTACCCTCCAGACCCCAGGAGATGCACTAGTTTACCCTCCAAACCCCAGGAGATGCACTAGTTTACCCTCCAGACCCCTGGAGATGCACTAGTTTACCCTCCAAACCCCAGGAGATGCACTAGTTTACCCTCCAAACACCAGGAGATGCACTAGTTTACCCTCCAAACACCAGGAGATGCACTAGTTTACCCGCCAAACACCAGGAGATGCACTAGTTTACCCGCCAAACACCAGGAGATGCACTAGTTTACCCTCCAAACACCAGGAGATGCACTAGTTTACCCTCCAAACACCAGGAGATGCACTAGTTTACCCGCCAAACACCAGGAGATGCACTAGTTTACCCTCAGACACCAGGAGGTGCACTAGTTTACCCTCCAAACTCCAGGAGATGCACTAGTTTACCCTCCAAACATCAGGAGATGCACTAGTTTACCCTCCAAACCCCAGGAGGTGCACTAATTTACCCTCAGACACCAGGAGGTGCACTAGTTTACCCTCCAAACTCCAGGAGGTGCACTAGTTTACCCTCCAAACACCAGGAGATGCATTAATTTACCCTCCAAACACAAGAAGGGCACTAGTTTACCCTCCAAATACTAGGAGATGTACTAGTTTACCCTCCAAACACCACGAGGTGCACTAGTTTACCCTCAGACCCCCATGAGATGCACCAATTTTCCACTGAAACATGAAGTATAAATTTGCCTTGGAGTAAACCATGTAAATTATGCAACAACGGGTGTGGTGCCTTCATAGGATTCAGTGAGGCGTGAGGTGGTCTGCAGGTCGCCCTTAGCGTAAGGGGCTGGCTGTCTTCCATTAGTATTAGGGGGGGTTGTGGTCTACCCCTATTGTTAAGGGCAAGAGGTGGTCCTAGAAAGGCATAGCTCTACTTATATAATTAAGCGGGGCTTATACGTAAGAGAAAGTCGACTATCATCTTTCTCTGGTGTTGAAGGTTCTGAGGTACTGTAGGCCGGGTCGCCTCTGAAGATGAGGCTTCTCGCATGAGCTTCTACTTTGTCCGGAGGAGACCAGTCCATACTGAAGATGGTATGGAAATTGGGATTCATATGAGGCTTTGAAACCTCTGCAAAATCTCAATATTTCTCTCTCTCTCTCTCTCTCTCTCTTTCTCTCTCTCTCTCTCTCTCTCTCTCTCTCTCTCTCTCTCTCTCTCTCTCTCTCTCTCTCTCTCTCTCTCTCTCTCTCTCTCTCTCTCTCTCCCTAGAACTCATGCTGATAAGAACCGTGAATATCATGTAACTTTAAACCAGCTACCAATATAAACAAAAATTTATTTTTGAGATTTGTTCTTTGATGTATTACGTTAATGTGATTTCTCTGTGTATTGCTACCAATATGATTTTCAAGTTAAGTAACAAACAAGGGAAACGCATCGAGAGCCATTTGCTCTTCCTAGAATTTATTTCAAAATCGTTTTTCAGATGGAGCTCAATTTGAGCTCCATCTCAAACTTTTTTGCAAGTTTGTTGCTACACATGAGGCCGGTCAACCTCTTGAGAGTAATTAAGACCACCATAATGGCCTAATGACCCATTAGAAAGCATACTTTAGTTCTGATCACAGGACTAGAGAGTGTATGTAGTCACTGGTACACAGAATACACATAGCATAGAGTTAACTTTACTGTGTTCGTGTGCCAATGATGCCTTTATGTATATGAATAACGCTGATAATAAAAAAAATAGTGATACCATCAGATAGAAAACGTTGACTGTGTCCTAGTTAAGTCTTGTAAAAGATGTTGTTGTTAAAGATTCGCTACCTGGAACAAAGTTCCAAGTAGCACGGGCTATGGTGAGCCCGTATTGTAAAAGAGAACACGAGGCTTGCTCCTGTGGTCTGTCACACCCCACCACACTGGCATCAGGTCGCTGTGCTCTATATCCCGTCACTCCACCACACACAGACAACCATACAAAGCTCTGTTCTCAACCACACTCAACCAAACACCACAACACGCCACCACATTACGATATTCAACCGCACTCCTCCACACTTCACTGCACCTAACCACACTCAATTTCCTGTGGTGTGTGTCCTTCAATCATCGGGTAGCGAGGCTAGGTACCCTGCTGTGTCAATTCTCAATATCACAACCACACAGACATATACACACACACACATATCCGTTCCAATAAGCACTCCAAGTGTTAACCAAACTACTAAATTATATTGTATTACAAATATTTTTATGAATACAATTATTATTGGTTATAATTTCATTTTAGTATCATTGTTAGGTGGGGAGAATTGGTCATCTCGTCTGTGAACTACATCATCTAGTAAATAAATCTCTATAACAGTAAATAAAACCTAGGGCTTCGTCTCCTGCTTGTTGAGACTGATGCGAGGGTTCATAGCGTGAGGTCTCACAGGTATCACACCCCAGCACCACCAAGCCTGGCTTTCACTCCCTTCTAAACTGCTGCAGTAACATTGTCTAGCCTCATATACTCGCCCCCCCCATCTGCTCTATTGTTGAGGGCATTGTGTGTGTGTGTGTGTGTGTGTGTGTGTGTGTGTGTGTGTGTGTGTGTGTGTGTGTGTGTGTGTGTGTGTGTGTGTGTGTGTGTTTATGTATGTGTGTTGTGTGAGTGTGTGTGTGTACTCACCTAGTTGTGCTTGCGGGGGGGTTGAGTTTTGGCCCTTTGGTCCCGCTTCTCAACTGTCAATCAACTGGTGAACAGATTCTGGAGCCTATTGAACTCTTATCAAATCTACATATGAAACTGTGTATGGCGTCAACCTCCACCGCATTGCTGCTTAATGCATTCCATTTATTAACTACTCTGACACTGAAAAAATTCTTTCTAATGTTTCTGTGGCTCATTTGGGTACTAAGTTTCCACCTGTGTCCCCTTGTTCGTGTCCCACCCGTGCTAAATATTTTCTCTTTGTCCACCCAGTAAATTCCCCTGACAATTTTGTAGGTGGTTATCATGTCTTCCCTTACTATGTGATTGTGTGGTCTCTGTTATTGTAGGACCTCCTCCCCTGTCTAACTTTATCCAACAAACATCCGAGTATAGGATTTGTAAACAGAAAAGCAAAGTTGATGAGGGAAACCATCAAATAGGGTAAATGGGTACCAAGTAGACCAGAAACTTCTCCAACCCACTACACAAGGGTGTAGGTGTGGGTTAGAGAAATGTACTAATTTGGAGGATGCCAGTTCACCACTGAAGTAGGTGGCGGTACTGCTGTCTACCATGATGTCCGATCCCGCCCACTCACCCTCCCTCCCCCGTAGCCTCCTACTGCTGCCTCCTAGGTGGTAGACGACTGCTGGGAAGCCTAGCTGAGTTTCAGTGGTAATGTAGATGGGTGACTGTTGTGTGGGGGTTGCTGGGGTGAGTCGGTTGTGTGACACAGCGAAATGACCCGTCCAGGGGGGAACTAACGCTTGGCAATCCTATGAAAATTCTTTTAAAATATTAATACTTTTAACAACTGGGGATGAGTTTAGTGTTAAATGTGGTGACAGAGTGTGGTCTTTGATGTGTGTTATGTGGTGTTTCTGTGTACTATTCTGTGTTTTGTAAAATATGGTGATATGGTTTCGTGTTTTTGTGTGTTGTATAATTATTTGATGTTACTTGGTTATGTGGTGTTACTGCTTCCTGTGGTATTGCGAGCCAACAGAGGCTTGTAGCGAGCCTCGTCTAGAATTACGTGGGAAGGGGTATGAACAGAGAGAGAGGGAGATGATTGAGACTAAATATTTCGTGGGGATTGATAGAATGAACACTGGAAGCGTTCACAATGAACAACGACGTACCTAGTGAGCATCGTGTGAAAATTGGAGGCCCGGAGGAGATAAGAGCTCCAAGTACCCTTCAATGTGTACAGCCTCCTGCAAGAAGAGGAAGAAGACATTTAATTAAACGGTAAGGTGCGGCTCAAGATCTGAAATTTAATCCAGAATACACAAGTGGGCGAGAACAAATTAGGAGAGTAGAGACACGCACACACACACACACACACACACACACACACTGGGGAGCCGGCCGGCCGAGCGGACAGCACGCTGGGCACGTGATCCTGTGGTCCCGGGTTCGATCCCGGGCGCCGGCGAGAAACGATGGGTAGAGTTTCTTTCACCCTATGCCCCTGTTACCTAGAAGTAAATAGGTACCTGGGAGTTAGTCAGCTGTCACGGGCTGCTTCCTGGTGTGTGTGTGTGTGTGTGTGTGGTGTGGAGAAAAAAAATAGTAGTAGTAGAAACAGTTGATTGACAGTTGAGAAGCGGGGCGAAAGAGCAGAGTTCAACCCCCGCAAGCACAACTAGATGAACACACACACACACACACACACACACACACACACACACACACACACACACACACACACACACACACACACACACACACACAAAGAATCAATCAAAGATTGT